TTTGAAGCAACAGAAATGAAAGTAATGTCACTTATTTTCTTCTGGCAGTAGAGGTTGAACCTTCTTTCAGTAACCCATAATCTTTTTTGCTTTGACAGTAGCTAAGTGGAAATCTATCAGAATTACATTTGACATAAAAGTGTATATAAAACATATCAATTTCTCTGTATGGAAAAAAAAAAAAAAAAAAATTATCCACCAATATTCATTGACACTTGTTGAATATTTACAGAGACCAAACAGTGGATGTAAACACAAGCAGAGGGTAATGTCTTTTAACAATGACATAATATCTGTGTAAAAGTTGATTATCTCTGCTAGGGCAAATTATCACAGGCACAACATGGAGGCAATTGTTTGCAACTTGCAGAAGAGTATTTTTTATGTACCTAATAGAAGGGGAGGGACATTTATTTATTAATTTTGCACTTTTCCCTAGAGCTCAAACAAGGAGGAGTAATTATTTTAGTTGGTTCAAGTATAAATTTGCTTGCTTTTATGATTTAATGTAATGTAAAAAAAATTATTATCCCATAATAAAAAAAATATAAATATATATATATATATATATATATATATATATATATATATATATATATATATATATATATATATAATAATTTCCATGCCTGAGGATGACTGAATGTACAGTTGAAAGTACTTGCAGATTAAAAAAAGACCTTATACAGCTTGTAGTTATTAAAAACAAGGATCATAACATTCATTGAGTGGTTCGTAGGTTAATGCAGCTTTAAAATTTTGTTTGCGAAAAGATTTTGCCATTTTATATCATTAACTTTACTAATCTACTTTTTGTATGAATGATTCATTGTAATATAAATTGAACTGCACCACATATTTGATATATATATATATATATATATACACACAGCACATAAAAGTATACTTTGGTACTGTTTGTTAATAAGCAAATAACCAGTCTGAAATCTACCATCACCACTTACTTCTATATCTATCTATCTCTCTCTCTCTCTCTCTCTCTATCTATATATATATATATATATATATATTAAAAAATTAAAATATTAATATTCTTTTGTGTTATTATTTCAATTAGACTCCTCGACTAGTTTCAGCCAGCATGGCCTTCATCAGAAGAAGAAAAATTCTTGCTTGTTAGTACCAGTGAACTAAAGGAGTGAATGACTGTTTCTGAGACAGACTTTGATAATTTTAAACTACTTTCTGTAAGCATTTAAAACATTTGTACAGTATTCATAATTACCTTTATTAATGTTTGGTTTCAATTTTAGCTTGAATAATTTTTAGTTCATGTCTCTTCGTTAAATAATGACATCAAAAAGCTTGTCTGTTAATATGAAGGGATCCAATTGAAAATATATAGACAAAACTTATCTAAATTATTCAATGAAACATGTCTTAATGAAAACATGCTGTCAAATTAAATCTCTATATATATATATATATATATATATATATATATATATATATATATATATATATATATATATATATGTGCATTATTATTATTTTTTTAAGTGATTATAATAAAAACATTTTGAAATCACTACACAAAAGCTTTCATGTTTCAATACTATGATTGTGTTCCAATTTTCATTTCTCATTTGTTATTTACTAATGTCTCATTTATTATTTTGTTCTATGTGCCAACTTTGATAAAGTGTTGGTCAAAAGGGTCTCCTAAAGGTAAGATGATGTCCTCTCTATTCATCTATATATATATATATATATATATATATATATATATATATATATATAAGAAAGAGAGAATTAATTATCCTGCATAACCTGACAGGGTTTGAAATTTTCTCTAGACTCAATAATAATGAAATAGGTATTTTGAAGATAAATATGGCTCCATTCAGATAGAACACTGGTAAAAACTGCATTTTCATTTTGTGTTTTATTATATAATTAAGTGAGTTTGGAGATATGATAATTAAGTATGTAAGGTTTTTCTTTCATTGTTTCATCACAGATATTTGCAGGAAGTCCCCAGATTACAAATGATCTCCATTCCTTAATCTGTTTTAAGTCCTCGTTAAACTGAAATAGTTATATTAGTTTTATCCAACATCAGTTTGCCTTTGTAATAATAAAAGAGACATTAAAAAATTATATCCAATTTCTGGGATGAGGAGTTTATTTACACTCTTCGCATTCAGGCTATTGTCTTCATCTTTGTTGTTGTTATCACAATATTTAGGCCATTGTGACCTTCAGTCGTCTTCACCTGGTCCAGGAAACTTACAAGGAAGAAATTCTTTTATTTAATCTACAGGTGTAGACTGTTCTTGTTCCATTGCCGATATCTTGTCTACTTGTTATTTTTAGTACTGCACAGTTAATTGCTCGTCTAATTTACACCAAGACAATAGCCTAGAGAATTAAGTCATTGGTTTGTGAGTTCAATCCCAGGGCCAGGCAGTGTGTACAGAGGGCACAACAGCTGAAATCATGATAACAGCAATAAGGATGTGGCAAGGACAATACTTTACATGTAAATAGTTTGAATAATATTCAGTGAGATATATATATATATATATATATATATATATATAAACAGAGACACATCGTCTTTCCAGGAACCAATAAAACTGTCAAAATGACCAAGGGAATTCAGAGTAGTATGAATCCATCCAGCTCTTATTTTAAATAACCACTTAAAAGAGACTGTTTGACCAACACAAAGACTGACCAAAATTCGCGTTAAAAAAATAAAAAAAACAAATGAAAACTACAGACAAAAGTTCATTTTCTCCATCAAGACATTCATTTCTGTAGTTCACTGCTACCAGCAAGCAGAAAATTATTTTTCTCCTGATGTTGGCTGAAACTAGTCGAGGAATCTAAATGAAATAATAATAATAAAAACGAAAGAATATTAATATAAAACCCAGTGTGTCTGAAGATTTTAATTTTTTAATATTTTTTACTGTTCAGAATATATAGAATATATATATATATATATATATATATATATATATATATATATATATATAGAGAGAGAGAGAGAAAATAATACAAGATTCTTGGAGACAATAAAATGCCAATCCAATAAAACAAACATTAATTTTCTCAATAACAGAATCATTATTATTAGCGTTTTATTCCTTATTTGGAAGAATCTCGATTATGGATAAATAGATTCTGATAATGTGGAAATTAATTTCAAAGGATTTTCTACAAAGAAAATGTTTTGGGGATTTGTTCAGATGGAAAACTTAGTGCAAAACTTGATTCACTTCAGAGGATTTTGACAAAATATTCCAACCAAACAATTGGATTTTCTCTTGAGTTGACTGAGTGCATCCTTACATTGTCCTTCAAGAGAATGGCACATTCTGATCATATTTATGTTAGGTTTATGTAGCCAAAATTCTATTGATTTTAGTTATGTCTTGGGAAATATAATTTAAAAACTGGATATATTCCTGAGTTGATTTTGCTGAGTACAGCCTTGTATTGTCATTCTAGTAAATGTCACATTTTGATAGCATAGGCTACATTTATGGACACAAATTTCTAGTGATCTTGGTTTTGTTCTGAGAAAAAAAATATATATATATATATATGAAATAAAAGGACAAATAGGAAACCTATCAATCTAACGTTTCCCTTTTATTTGGGTGAAATACAATATTTCTTGTTTACATATATGATAAAATAAAAGATAGGAAACTTATCAATCTAACATGTATCACTTTTATTAAAGCTTCGTCAGAGATTGAGAGAAAAAAGACAGAAAACACTGGTATTTTAATTGTGTTTGGCTCAGTTCTCACAGATCAGATATCTGTCGTGTGTATTAAAACTCCCACTAGACAGACACGCATGCACAATTACAAATACACATTACCATCCAATGTCCACTTAGACATACAAGAATCTTCACAAATCTACAAGCAAATGGAATTGTTTTAAGACATTTTTTATGTTTATATGTTCTTTTTATAGATACAAATATTTAAATAAATGCTCTGTTTATAATAAACAGTATTAACAACATGGCCTGAATGTTCAAGAAATTTTCATAGAAAATATGTGTCCTCCAACAGGAATCGAACCTGTATCCTATATGGAACTGTCATATAGCCTGACATGCTTTTACCGAATGGACCACAGAGGAGCATTTCAGTTAGCAAGGTTGATTTTACTGTTTTTAAACTACAATTCGCCATGATTTTCTCTTGTACATTCATATCTGCTCGGTGTGTATCCAAATGTAAACAAATGACGTCACACATTATGAAATGGACAAAGTCCGACAATTATTTTAAGACGTTTTTTAGAATTATCCGTGATTTTAATACATGTATCATGTGTCTGATCAACGAGAACTGACCTAAACATAATTGTCTGTTTTCTCTCAATCTCTGACGAGGCTTTAATGAAAGTGAAACATGTTAGATTGATATACATAATTTGTTCTTTTATTTTATTATCCTGTCAAATTCCATTTTACATATGATCTTTAACTCACTATTATTTATTACTTTCATTATAGAACATCTGGTTCATATGTCAGCCATTGTTAAAGGAAACTGAATTCTTTAGTTGAAGCATTGTCAATTATCATTTAGTTTTTAATGAGTATTTTCCTTGCTTTTTATTAAACTAATAGTATTATATGTAACTAATAGTAGTGTCTCTGTTATTTCTCTTCCGTCTTTCTCTGGGACTTTGCCCATTATTTATGAAGGTAATGACAGTGTGTAACATAAATAAGAAATGAAAGGACACATGGCACAGTGGACAAAGGCGTTGGTTAGATCTAGTGACAGGACCCAAAGAGTGAGAGTTCAATACCCGGTTAAGGCAGTGGAGAACTTTCAGAGGAAAATTAACAGGAGATAACTGATATCCATTAAACATGGCACGTGAAACTGGAACAGTCTACCCTAGTGAGCAAAATAAAGGGTTCAGTTTGACAGTCCAACCACCTGAAGAAGGCCGAAGTGTCCAACAGATAAAACATAATAAATATGGTGAAAAAGATGAGGACTGTTATCTATCTATTTCCGTTATCTATCTATCTATCCCAGTCTGCTCACATCTATCTATCTATCTATCTATCCCAGTCTTCTCATATCTATCTATCCCAGTCTTCTCATATCTATCTATTCCTATGTCTGTTCATATCTATCTATCTATCTATCTATCTATCTATCTATCTATCTATCTATCTATCTATCCCAGTCTTCTCATATCTATCTATCCCAGTCTTCTCATATCTATCTCTCCCAGTCTTCTCATATCTATCTATCTATTCCTATGTCTGTTCATATCTATCTATCTATCTATCTATCTATCTATCTATCTATCTATCTCCCAGTCTTCTCATATCTATCTATCTATCTATCCCAGTCTTCTCATCTATCTATCTATCCCAGTCTTCTATCCCATATCTCATATCTATCCCAGTCTCTATCTATCATCATCTATCTATCTATCCCTATGTCTGTTCATATCTATCTATCTATCTATCTATCTATCTATCTATCTATCTATCTATCTATCCCAGTCTTCTCATATCTATCTATCTATCTATCTATCTATCTATCTATCTATCTATCTATCTATCTATCTATCCCAGTCTTCTCATATCTATCTATCCCAGTCTTCTCATATCTATCTATTCCTATGTCTGTTCATATCTATCTATCTATCTATCTATCCCAGTCTTCTCTATACATCTATCATCTATCCCAGTATTCCCAGTATCATATCTATCTATCCCAGTCTTCTCATATCTATCTATCTATTCCTATGTCTGTTCATATCTATCTATCTATCTATCTATCTATCTATCTATCTATCTATCTATCTATCTATCTATCCCAGTCTTCTCATATCTATCTATCTATCTATCTATCTATCTCCGTTATCTATCTATCCATTCCCGTTATGATGTTGATTTGGGGTTAATAAAGACAAACGCCAAATAACATGTAACAATAAAAAGGGGTTTATTAGGTTGGTAAGTAGGTACAGAAATCGCTTGAGTAGTCTATAACTAGCTCAGCCAAGAACTTCTCCGACTCTGTCTGTCTTTTGACATGCCACTATTTAACGTCTTTGTTTGTAGACAAGTTCATCTTCAAGAGGGGTGGTAGGTTTCCTACACAACAAGGACAATAGTCCGAATAATATAAGAAATGAAATAATGGTTAGACAAGTAGAATTATAAGACATGTTAATTTCTTGGATCACCGATTCCATGAAACTGTCCTGGGTATGACGATAAACTACATCCAGCAGCAAGGCCTCTGATCAGGAGGTTTTGAGGAGCGTGGAATCACCTCTTAATTGATGTTGTTTCCAGGTCCACCCTGACCCGGGGTGGTAGCACCTGTTAGGGTCCCAGCTATAGGCAAATATTTAACACCCAAACCTGTGTAAAAATAGGTTTTAATACCAGAAATACTGTAATAAAAAAAAAATATTACCAGCAATAATTTTTGAAGGAAAAATTATTATCAGCAATACTTTAAAAATTATTATCAGCAATACTTTAAAAATTATTATCAGCAATACTTTAAAAATTATTATCAGCAATACTTTAAAAATTATTATCAGCAATACTTTAAAAATTATTATCAGCAATACTTTAAAAATTATTATCAGCAATACTTTAAAAATTATTATCAGCAATACTTTAAAAAAAAAATACCTGTAATACAAATAACTACACATTCTTTGAAAAAAAAAAATATGACCACCTATAAATTTCTTCAAGGAAAAAGATTCCCAGAAAAAGATTTTTGAAGAAAAACATAACCAGCAATAAAAATTTTGTCGGCATTAAATAACCCTTTGAGGTTGATATGTCGTAAAACAAATCAAAGTGATTTCATGAACAAAGAAAAAGTAGGTTGTCATAGAAATTCAATTACCTCTCTGTATAAATATTTTCAGCAAAATACTGATTTTTCTTTTATTATTATACAGACAAACCTCTCATCAACAGAGTAATAGTGGGCAGGGATGGTCTGTTAAAGTCTGTAGATGGGAAGGGATTATTTTTGAGTTATCAAACCACTATAGTAACTACCACTAGTAATGATTATAATGTAAATACGATAAACATGAATATATATGGCATAAATAAACATATACTTAATATTGATATATTAATCCAAATAACAAAAATAATAGATTTCTCATGCACACACTTTGTTTAGAATTGAAAGACCTGCTACTGCTGCTAAGCGGTCACTTTGAGAACCAATATGGTTTGTTCTGCTAAGCCTGCAAATTTACTATATTCTTTTATTTTATTATTCTGTCAGATTCTGATCCATATTTGATCTGCAACTCATATGTACATAGAAGTATAGAAAATTAGGAAACTAGCCGATTCTGCTACCTTCTACTCTGAGCATTAACTTCTTTATTATATATATATATATATCTATATATATTCATGAATTATTCATACAAAAACAAATACAAAGGTTAATGATTTAATTGGCGAGAAATCCATCGTCACAAACAATTCAAATAACATACAAAAACCCCAAACATGTTATGAATGAAAAGATCCTTGTTTTTATAAATTTCTGTTGCATTAGTTCTTATTTTTACTACAAGCTTTCGTCTGTTCCTACAGACATCTTCAGGTATGGAATAGATGTTGTTCTTGTTTTTTCTCTCAGTAATAAGAGGACAACGAAAATATATGTATTGTTGTAATCCGAAAATGCTATTAGAAATGAGTTATTGTTTTTGGAGCGTGCAGTAGCAACGCTGAGTTTGATTTTAAATTTTACAGTTGTGCGTTCTTGTACAAATATGGTGATAAGCGAATTCTTTTTTACTGGTAAATTTTCTGTCAAAGTGGCATGAACTATATTGTTCAATAATTACAGTAATGTCGCACTTATTATCCAAAAGTTGCACTTGGATCAGTTATTTTAATTTCAATATGAATAAAAAGATAAGAGGAAAAACTATTCATAGATGATGTGCTTCATCCTCTAAAGGACTTTCTCAAGGCAAATGTCTTGATGAAGTCCCTCAGAGGATGAAATGCATCATCTATGAATAGTTTTTCTCTTGTCTTTTTATTTATTTTATTCCTTTACAGATACACTTTATCTGAAAATAATTATATATATGTAATAATAATAATAGCTGAATACTCATATTCAAGGATACCCATCTACTAGGGCAGCTAGCCAATCCCTATTGCAGATGTTTGCGCAGGCACATTTGTGTTTTTTCAGCATCCACTGAGCCCATCTGTGGTTTATACTGCAACAATGCTGAGCAGACCTTAGTTACAGTTTCTGGGAGAGAGTGTGTTATCTAGCATGATCAACAATCTGAACAAGACCGGTAAACTCGAGTGCTTAATCACGATGATTTGTGACTTTGTGCTAGCACAGTTATCAATGGCACCCAAGTGTTCTGTCTACCAAATTTCACTCACAAGACTTGGGTCAACCCATGATGTGGTTTTCAGGCACTTTCCAAAGATGCCACATGCTGGGATTGCTCCCCTCTTTACTGATAACACTTTCCTGACAAATTAACTGTGGTGAGATTTGAATTTTGGTTTCATGGTCAGAAAGCAAACATTCTAACTACTAGGTCATGTGCCCATAACACACACACACACACACATATATATATATATATATATATATATAAACGTGAACATAGAAGTCAACACTTAGAGGCAACAGTCTGTTTCATGCTATATGCAATCATCAGGCTACGTGTGCTGTTATTTTTCTCGGCTATTTATATATACGGGTCAGTGATGCATTGTGGGTAGTCTATTATGGCGGTTATTTTACCGGAAGTCGTTAATCTATTTATTTGGGTTAAATTATTTTGCTTGTTTTTATTTATTTATCGCCTCTAAGTGTTGACTTCTATGTTCACGTTTATATTTACACACGCTTTATCTCTGATATTGAGCACTTTATCCCATAAATAAGACTATATTTCTTCATTATATATATATATGATTAATACAAATATAAAATTTGTTATTTAGCATCAAGATCTCATCAGTTTACAGATGAGCTGGCTGGATGTAACCATAAATCCTACACTAACAGTTTCTTTTCTCATATATTTCACTGTGGGAACTCCCTTCCAGTTCCAGCCAACTTTAATCTGCAAAAATTAAAATGTGATATCAATCGCTATCTACTGTCCTCCTGACTCTTTTCTCTCCCTGATCGTTATTAATGTTTCTGTTCCTAATTCTTCCACACCCAGTAACCCCTTGTGTCTTAGTGGCTTTACTGCCTCTCCTGGGGTAAGAATAATTAAAAACACACACACATATATATATATATATATATAGCCCTGAATACATTAGTAAAAAGAGGATTATACTGAGAACACATTCTACACTACCCATATCATTTCATCTTAAATGCAAAAAAAACAAGCTCACAGAATCCATAAAACCAAACAAACAAACAAATACTTCTAACAGAAATTATGCAAATTTCATAATCCTACCCTCCAATATTTCAACCAAACTTGCAAATGAATTACTCATCCCTCATACGAGAATATGTAGCTATGTATTTAGGTTGCAAGAAGTCTTTTAAATAAGTCTTATTAAATAATACTGATAAAGTCTTGCTGTTCAATTTTCATTTCAGTTGTTTAAATCTCAGAATTAACTTTCCAAATTCCATTTATCATATCCATCCAAGTACTTTCAAACATTACTAAAGTCATTAACAAGCATTGCAAGTTATTAATTTTGCATGTTATTAGAATTGTGTTTTTAGCAAATTCCAGTGTTTCTTAGCTTACTGGGACTAATTATGGAAGCCATTGTAAACATCATATAGTGAAGTGTGTATGATAAAAAAAAAAGATATATGCTTAACTTCAGTTTGACTGTTGTAGATGATGTCAACTTTAGGTGGACTCTCCTGTCATATTCGACATACAAAGGTCAGGCTCAGTTCCTAGGAACTGACAGCCAGACACCAGCACATATGATTTGATTCACGTGGTAAAGGCTTTGTGCAGAACCAACTACACTTTTTGAAAGGCCGAATACAGAGATTTGGTGCACTACGTGCCTCAAGGTCCCCATACTTGTGTCCTTCATCAACAGTGCGAGAAATAAACAGAGAAATGGGAATTAATCACCAACAGATGTTTTTGTGGATGGTGTATTTTCTGGTGGAGGTCATATTATAAGCAAAAACCTGATCTCAGTCTGATTCCTCACTGTGTGAAACTTTTTATGAAAATAAACTTAAATTTATAATTTTGATGGGTGTGAAAGTGTGAGGTTGATCTACATATCTATCTATGTGTGTATATATATATATATATATATATATATATGGTGTACTCCCCTGTCATATTTGACATATGAGGTTCAAGCAGCTCAGTTCCTAGAACTGACATTCCAGATACCAGATGATTTGATTATTGTGGTGAAGCACTTTGAAATGTTTGCTTTGGAGCTTCTGGCACAAATGCCAAGCTGTACAGATTCTAAATTTCTGGTGGAGTGGATTGCATCATGGTGTTCTTTTTCTCACTGACCCTGCTATACTGTACAGTCAACAGAATCAAATGTTTTAAGCCTATCTTACCTAACAAGATAAACTATGAAATCTCCACGAATATTCTTAAATGCCTTTAATTGGTAACAGAAGCCAACGGCTTCCCATACTTAATACTTCTCAAATTCACTCTCACGTGGTCATATGTGATGTCATGAGCTGCAATGTGATTTTCGCTTCCAGTGTCTTATATGCACAAGTTTGTCGTTGCTTGGAAATCTTCCATGTAAACAGAAACAGACTATAATCACTGTCTTGTCTGTGTATTGCTGAATATATTGTAATGTAATTGTCATCTTTGATAATGGCTTATGTAAGGCGAAAACTTAGATAGGATTAAAAATATGTATCAATATTGTGATTTTCTTTCTTCGTTTAATGATAATGTTATT